TGTGTTGTCGAATTGCATTTACTTTGAGATTCGAAGAAGTTTTGGTTTTTCCCAATTATCTTGAGAGTATTTTTTGAATGCAGTAGTCTTTGTCTAAGGTGGTGTGGTAGAAACGATGAGTGACGGCTTGGTTCCATGGAGTCGAGATCTGCGCTATTTCTCATGCATTTGTGTGAGATAGTGGCCGACATAGTGGGCAGTGGTTGTATAGGACAGAGTTCTTCTTGAATATACAGATATTACTCGTTCCGACTGTTGAGCGATTGGAAATGCGGCGACCTGCGGCTGTAATACGGAATGGTCTTAAAGAGCTCTGTGAGCGGTTTTGAGATTTTTTTTGGAGCAGCAGTTCAGGTGCAGGTATACAGGCGTCTTCAGTGTATGCCATTAGGATGGGTATCCGATGACAAATACGAAATATCTATAGCGAACGCATGACATACGGAGAAATTGTACTGGTTAGAAAAAGCAACATGCTCAAAATTTCGACACTTGCGGTCCTTATGTTTCCGGTTTTCCATTGCACAACACGGTTACTTCGATTGCAGTTGTGTATGCAAAGATGTTACTGAATCAGATTTCTGCAATAAGAGTTTGATAGTTTTTCTTTTACTCTGATATTTATTTTCCATTCCAGTCGTTCATTTATAGACTTCATTCTTGCCACTTTAACACGTCAGCCTCTAGATTATATGTCCTCATTCACCCTTCCTTTCACTCTGATCCACCATCGAGATTGATCTCAATCTTTTCAAAGCCTGCATCGCTACTGATTGACTACATCGATTCCCTGTAGTCACTGCAACACCCATAAATGTATACCACGCGTGGAGTGTTCTCTGCGAGCGCTCAGACGGCCTTCGCTATCACAGTTAATCTCGATGCTTTCTCCAACGAATTTCCGTTTTTTGACCACTTTTTTTCGGCATGACCCTCCTTTCAGTCGAGGGAGTTATAATCAACGAATCTGGATTTAATGGATTCTAATCTGTTATTTCGAACTAAAATCCGATTATTTTCTCTAGTTTTCTTGTATGAGCTAATGTAAAATCCATCCTCAATCACGTTATTCTACAGTAATTCATGACATAAGAGATTAACATGTTTTTTCTCTTGAAGTTTTAATAACTGAGAATGTATACAGAGTATTAAAATTGTGAAGCATATAAAATAATAAGCAGTTTCATTTCATCTACTACACAACAAAAAAGTGAAAGCAAGATAATGGCTACCTCATTAATACAGCTCGGCACTGAAATAAGACAAATTACTCTACCAATAATTATGTTTTTTGGCACGCTAGGAAACTCACTCAATATTGTTGTGCTCACTAGACCTGCTCTGTATAACCATGCTTGCTCTCGTTATTTTCTGGCTCTTGCTTGCACCAATCTGTTCTCTGCAAGTGTGATTCTTACTTTCCGCCTTTTAAGTGATGGATATAGACTTGATGTAACCCGAACCTCTATTATTTTATGTAAAACGGTTTCATTTTTCTCTCAAACATCTGCAATATCCTCATCGTTCCTGACTGTAGCTACTTCGATCGATCGATTCTGTGCCAGTTCCAGCAGTGTTCGTTTACGTTCGTTTAGCAATGTCAAAGTAAGCCGATGGGTTATTCTATTTGTCCTTATTTCGATTGCACTCTTTCATCTCAACACCTTAATTCTGACCGAATCACGGTCGACCGACACGCTAGGATGCCGTATTCGAGGTGATACCATCTACAAACAAGTGTATACAATCATACAAAGCCTTTCATATGCTATTTTCGCACCTGTTCTCATGGCGATCTTTGGTACTCTGACCATCTACAATACTAAAAAAACGAATGTTACTCCTGTTGCCGGTGCACGCTATCGTCGCACTGAAAGTCAACTTGCTCGTATGCTCATCCTTCAAGTGATCACTACCATTTTACTTGCAGCACCCGCTGGCGCCGGTAATTTAATGGCGATTATGGCAAATACACTTTCAACGACGGTCGAGTTTTTCATTGCTTATGTATTCTGTCAGCTACTTTTTTATGCATCGTATACTACGCCCTTCATTATGTACATTGTTTCGGCTAGTATATACAGGAAAGAGCTCATTCGGTTGTTTCATAAAATATCATGCCGACGTGGTAATGGTCAAATCAATAGAATGACTAATCAAATAACACCAATGAATTTATAACTACATCTGTCCATAGCTGATTTCTAAGTTCGAATATTAATGTATGTCTTTGCCTTCACGAAATAAAGATGTCTATTACAGAATATTCTCATTTCTTTTAGAAATAGAAAAGTAGTGCACTATAGACACTTAATCATGCAAAATTTGAAGATCAAGATCTCTGGTACTAATTGGACGTATAAGATTTATGTGATGAGGGTGGGTGTTTACTCGTGAGAGGCTGCATAGATGTTTATTGGTATTTTATGTTTTGTATTGATTTTGGATTTATGTGAAAAAATCCTGCATTTTACCACTGGATATGTGCTGAAATCAGTTGACTTCTTAAGAAATCATCGTATTCTAGTTTAAATATTTAGAAAAATGCAGATCGACTAATATATTTTGATTGAGAATCCAAATATCACATTTGAAGTAAGTGCATGATTTTAAATGCCGAACAGGAAAACATTGGATATGATCCGTATCCGGAAGCTTGTAAATAAAACACGGAAACGCTATTGGGATATGGCTTCCGAGTTATTCTTCAGGGATTCACGGGAATTTTAACGGATTCGGTCAGTTTCCGGCGCATAGCTTTGACATGCGTAATAGAATATTTTACTATGATGTCCGCAAATGTCAGAATAATTAGTTAATAAGCATTGTCTGAGATTCTTTCATGTATTCTTTTTATCGTAAAATAGTTTACTAGTTAATACTATGTGTATGTTAAATAAGAAATTTGAAATTCAGTTGCATGTTTCTTTTTAATCTTTTATTTCCGATGAGACACAAACAGTACAACATCAATAACTCAAAAGTATTTCGATATTGCCAAGAAAAAAGCTAACATAAATAAAAATATTTCCATTCTTCATCATCTCAGTAAACAGTATGAAACGTTTTGTATATCTATTAGGTTGTCCAAAAAGTTCGTGCAACTGCTGTTTTCCTGCAAGCGTGGAACACATGGTTTCTACCATTGCGTAGAGCGTCCATTTTTAGGATGGTACACCGATGTTGACCTAACTACTTCATTGTCTTCCTGGAGAAAAGAATGACATTTTAACAACCAGATGTGCCATTTTCAAATATAATACTCGTAACAGTACTTTAGTATATATGTATCTGCGTACTTAGATAGGATCGGCAAATAAGATTTATAGGATAAGTACAATTTCATGCGGCGCGCAATCTATAGCGGTCAAAATCAAAACATGTTGATTTCAAATTTTCAGGTCTTCCAGAGGAAGTGTCGGATATACTTCAGAGATCGTCAGAGTAATCTTTCACATATGATCATAGAATCTCGAAATTCAGACATTATCCGTTGAAAGCGTACCAAAAATTCTATGTTTGGGTGTATTTTCGGAGCAGTCGGAAGAGATTTCGAAGTGTTGCGCAAAGGTTTTGACAAAAAACGCGCATTTTATGTTCGAGTTTTGCGCCTTCATAGTGCATTGTCGTCAAGATGGGTTTTCCGACACTTAACCGATTGAAACACACACCTCATTGATATTTAACTCCGAAGTGTGACATCTAAAAGATGAACACATCTGGTTGTTAAAATGTCATTCTTTTCTCCAGGAAGACAATGAAGTAGTTAGGTCAACATTGGTGTACCATCCTAAAAATGGACGCTCTACGCAATGGTGGAAACCACGTGCTCCACGATTGCAGGAAAACAGCAGTTGCACGAACTTTTTGGACAACCTAATAACTATTGAACTTGAACTGCCGCAGATCTATCTCTTATACTTTTCTGTGATTTTGTTGTAATTCGAAAATAATAAAACTGCGAACTTCATCCAAACTAAATTTCAATATATGAAAATATTGTGATACAGAGGAAATGACCCTAATAAACGCTTCCATTCTGTTAAAAAGAATTTGATATCAGCTAGTAGTGTTAAACTGACTTTAACACTAAATTGAGGCGTTCATCAACAGTAAAACTATCATATTTCTTCGAGGGTGAGGGTCAATCAATATGAAACAAATTAACTTATGCATTTCAAATATAAATTAATCTGCTAATTTCAACTATTGCGTCTTTATCAATCGATCATTTGTGGCAACTAATGAAATATGTAGATTTGTAATTAAAAATAAATGCAGAATTTGCTTTGCCGACATGTTTCGTGTTTTATTTAACCCTTTGAGTGCCGGTGACGTATATATGCGTCTAAAGACAGTTATTGTAAAAAGATGCTTTCAGTAAATTTTTTATTAGGTGATGCTAGACAAACATCTTAGCACTACATATTCATGTTGTATGTATGGCTTCTGCTGCTCTTTACGCTGATATACGTGACTTCTCACTCCAGTGTAATCACTTTTCTTTCGTTCATATTGATCATGAAATATTCTTTCTACATATTCTATGGTTAGATCTTATCTTTCTACAAAGTTCTACTTAGTTCTGTCTTATATACAAAATCTAGTAAGTTCTTTTCATTTCGAAATGGTAATATATATATAAATTATTTGGTATTGAAGCTCGGTCACTGGAAAGCAGGAGTTGAAATTAGCAGAGTAATCTGTTTCATATTGATTCACACCCTCAACCACACTCTTTCTTCTTTCGAGATTCATAGATCATCTTCGATCCAGGATTCATTATCGATTGTGATAGGTACATGCACATTTTCGAGACTATATGAGTTTCGCATCCCCTACATCGAGAACCTTACATCTAATATTCTTCTGTACAAACGATCATTCATCAGGAACGGTTGAAGAAAGCAAAACTAGGATGAGTTTTCACCCTTTTTTAATAATCATTTGAAGATGATGAGATTGATATTTATGTTTTACTATCGTTCAAGTATATTTTCTTATGATGAAATATGTAAACGTTGTCGTACAATAGTTTTATATTGATTAATAGATTTATGAAATTCTTTCTTATAATATTTCGATGGTAATACAAATATAATAAAAGTAAGCATTGCCGGAATAAATGAAATAAAATATCCGCAAAGAAATAACCATGAATCATTACTTGATTTCATACATTTTGATACATATGAAATAATTAAACGTGGTAATGCAAGAATAACTAAAATAACTGGTGAAATAAATAAATGTTTATATTGTCGATAGTTTTCATGTAAAATTTCTTTAAAATTTCGTTTTGTTTCAATATTTGATTGTTGACGAGATTTTTTTGTTATAAGAATTAAAGCTGATATGAAATTAATCATAAATGGAACAAAAAATTGTATTGTATTTATAATCGAATTATAAATATGTAAATTTGTTGAATATGTAACAACACACCAAATACGTTTATCATTACCATCTTCATTTTGTTCATCAATTAAATGTCGATGAATGGGTTCATGAATAAACACACAAATATTAAAAATAATTAAAATAACAATAACTAATTTTGCTATTTGCTTGCTTTTTCTTTTATCGAAATGAATACCTTGTAGAATTGTTATTGCTCGTTCACAAGCAACACATGCATTTAACCATTGATCGATATGAAGAAAAACTCGTAGAAGATAATCTAATGAAATACATTGAATTTTTAAAAATAATCGATTTGATATTGAAGACATTTGTGCAAAAATTAAAATCCAAAATTTTAATGCAAATAAAATAATTATAATCAATGTTGTTATGGATGAACCTAATAAATATAATCCACAACCAATTTCACGTAAAATTTTATTCTTAAATGTTATCATTGTTAATATTCCATTAATGAAACCGGCAAGATTAAAAATTAAATTTAATATTATACTTATTTTAATAATAATTAATTGATTTGTTAAATTATTTAATGGTTGTATGTGATAACCGAGAATATTATCAAGTGATAAACCTAAACCACTTGTTGTAAATTGACAACGTCTACCATAAAAACATGAACGACATAGACATGTTGATTTTTTTTTACAATTATATCCACTTTGAAAACATTGACCATTATTTAAACATTCATTTTGACCTAAACAATTAGATTTCATTGTATGATTAAATAGAAAACAATCTGTTAATTGTTGTTGATTATAATTATAACAAAAACATAGATGAATATCATCATAAAAACATGAAAGATTTAATGATAAATTTTCACATGGGAAATAATAATATTTCATACGTTGAAGAACATTTAATGAGACAATTGTTTTATTAAATAATTCATTTATATGTTGACAACGATCTTTAGATTGAACTTTTTTAAATATTGTATCATTAGTTTGAGTAGCAATTAAATAATAATTCTTTTTAAAATCTTCAATAAAAATCAAATGATATATATGTGACCAATAAATAATAATCGAATTATTCGTTGAATAAATTGTTTTAAATATTGTTGTTCGATTTGGTTGAAAACTTAAACTAGTTTCTATAAAATGAATAAATATTGTTTGTAAAAAGTTCAAATTCTTATCAAATGATAAATGAACTTCATAATCTTTTATTTCACAATGAACACCACTAAAACCTTCGGGACAAATACATATATATTTGGTATTTAAAACTATTCCATGTGGATCATTTGGAATACATTGACCATGATTTTGACATTTTTTTTCACATATTCTATTAGTAAGAAAACATCGTGGACCAAATTTATGTGCTTGACAAATGCATATCGATTGACTAGAAAAATCTATTCCAACACATTTCGAATCTGATGAACAATTACAATTAATATTTAATGGTATATTACAATATTTTCCTGACCATCCTGAATAACATTGACAAAAATCAGATCGTGTATTGATATATTTAACACATTTACCATGAATACATTGATGTTTTGAACAATATTCAATCTGGAAATTATTTGGTGGAATATTAATTAGAAATTCCAAACGATATATAGGTAAAATTGAATTTATTATTGGATATAATAAACTTCCACGATAGATAAAAGAATTTTTTTCATAAATATCAATATGTATTGCATAATTTTTCGTTTGATTGTTTTGACGAGTTGAATAAAATAAATAATGATGATATTGTTGTTGACAATTTCTCACAAATAAATAACTCATTTGTTCATATGAATGTATAATTCTTTCATAACTATCATCGATAAGTAAAAGAATGATTTCAAATTGTATTTGTCGAGAATCAAGAGATGTTTCAATTGTTTTTATAATTAAACTAATTCGTTGATTTTGATATTGACATTGTTCACCATAATAATTAACTGGACAAAGACATGTTAAATTTGATAAATTATTATTCAACCAAATACGTAAATGAAGTCCTTGATGGCATCGATTTTCATTAGTAACTTTAATTAATTTATTTGTAGGTGTTTTTGCAATAGACATTTTTTTCGATAAATCGTTTGTTAAAGGATGTAACCAAAATAATTTTAGTCGTATATTTTCATACGAAAAACTATTACATAGAAATGTTTGTATCTTTCGTTGATATTGTAAATTATTTGAAATATTGGTTAATTCTAAACAAATCTTTCCATCAAGTAAATATTTCATATCACAGCATAAATCAATAAAATTAATACATGTTCCAAAACCATTTTTTAGTGAATAATAATTATTAGTATTATGTCGAGAGATTTTATTACATAGTAATGGCTCATCATATGCACCAAGACAATCAATTTTCTTATCATTTATATTCTTCATTGATAAACATATCATTTCATTTGTTTGGATTGAAATACATAAATGTTCATTAGAAGAACATTGTAATAATGGAAATCGATCACAATTAAGTTCATCTTCACCATTTAAACAATGCCAAAAATTATCACAACGAGTATATATCGTATTACATGGCCAATGATCACAATCGGTTTCATCAGTTTGGTTAATTATTCTTGGTAATAATTCATTATATTTATCACAAATATATTGAAATAAAATAGGCCTTTTATGTTGAATCTTGTTTTCATCATATAAACATGAATAATACATATAGTCACCATCATGTATTAAACTAATTTCATCTCGAATCCATGGTAATGAATCATCAGGAACACATAAAACTTCGAGATAATCTTTATCTGATATAATAGAAGCTTGTAATGATTGAATATGTAAATCAATACTTGTCTTTTGATATGAACTTGAAAATTGATTATAAGATTTAAATGTATTATATATTAATTGTAAATATTTCAAATCAAAAATATGATTTGTATTTGAAGTCTTGTAACGAAAACATTTTCTCGAATGAAATAATAGTACTGATTCATTAGTAAAATACTTATCGTAACGAGAATCATTATAACAAATATAAGGATGTTGAAATAGTCCATGATTGAACATTTTTGAATCGAGTTTTTCATAAGCAAAATATATATTAGTAAATAGAATAGGAATAATTGGTATATAAAACATTGATGGACATTCATCTTCAATAATTTCAAGACAATTATCATTTGAACAAAAACTATTACAAATTGAACCTAATGATATTGATATTGGTAAAATACATTTAAATGCTGACCAACAATTATCTGTTGTTGAATTATCTTTGATAGAAAACATTGCTTCGAATAATTGTTTTTGACGTGATTTCGTACAAGAACTTGTTAAAGGTGATTCATGACATTTAACATCTTCAAGATAAACAATAGGTGGATAACCAAGAAGATTATCGGGAAATCCATCGATTTTTAATGTACTCTTATGAATCTCATAATCATTATCAATTTGTGTACAATGTTCTTCATCAAATGGACCATCAAGACAATCAAATTTTCCATCACAAACTTCAGTCCAATCTAAACATAATGGATATGGACCACGATTACATTTAATATGAATATAACACGATAAAGAATTTGAAGTATCACGATTTGTATTATATGAAAGAAATATATAACTTGATAAAAAAGGATATGAATATAAATTTTCTAATTCATATTGACACATTGGACCAAATCTGTATGATGGACATTCATAGATAATTTCTTGGTCCATCATTTGATTATTCGATGTTGATAATTGTTCTAAATAGTATTGATATCGTTCAATAAGATCGATTGGTACTGACCAATCAGATAATTGTTCAATGGTGATATTTTTTTCTGATAGTTCAATAAAAGTAAAATGTGGATAAATAACATCATTAGATTGAATATGATAATTAGGTGTAAATTCATTCATACAATAAGATGTTATCTGCGAAGTTTCATCTACTGCCCATAATTGAACAATAATACGAATACAATTATAATATAATGCATAATCACCATTATTATTTGCTTGATTTGTATTGAATAAATTCAATTCAGACATTTTCACCATCGAATGAGAAAAGATAAAATAGATTAGATATATTATGAAAAACATTATTTCAATAATAAAATGAATACATTCATCATTCTTTCTATTTAAATATGTGAAATTTTTTATGGATAAATTCATTTGTTCCTGTGTGAATGAAAATCATATAGAAAATATCATAAAATAATAAATAGACGCATTTCCTGGCAAACGTTTGCATTTAACATGGCCGAATAATTAATATAGATATTGTGCATTGTAATTAGAGATGAGAGTAGGATTTTCACTTTGAACAGTCGACTCGATTTCCATTGGTTTTAGTCATAATGACGTACAATGATGAAAGAAATATATATTACAATATGACGTAGAAGTTTTTATGTTATTTTTTAAAACAAAACATTATTTGAATAAATATTGAGAATGAGCATATGTGTTAGTCAAACTCTAATCTTTATTTGGGCAGAATTAAACTTCAAACTATTTTATTCTAAAAAGAAGTAAGCCAAAATCTTCATGGACAAAATACTTTATTATGTTTCGATCAATTACACAACGTTATCGTGAATCGATATAAATGTCAAAACGAAAGTGAAATAAATAAACTACTGTAGTATAACGGTTTGTGTAACTGAAGACCAAGGACTTCGAAATGCTTTTAACAATCATGTTGTTATTTGTCTTTTATGTCGTATACTAATAGAAGAATTAATTGATCTTATTTGGAATATCTATTTTAATTTTACACATTGTTATTCGGCTTTATGTAGCAATTGATTTCTTGATGACATGAGGATTAATTAAACGACATATTCTCATTTTTCATTATCTACCTTTGCTAATATGTATTGTTTAACCTATTCTCTTTTACACAGTCATACTTTCAATTATATTATGTGATGTTTCATTCCATTATCATATCAGATTAATTCGCAATAATTACCAATTTCATTTATTTACGTTCTGTTAGCTCTTCCACCAATGATTTTATATACTGTTGATTGGATTCTATTATTTACTTCATTTGCCACAGTTGAAAATCAAATGTAAACATACAATTTCCTTCTGGCAAAGACATCGTACTATCAATCCAGAAATTATAATGATGATCTTGCTGTAGAAACTATTCGATGTTGTATTTTTAAGTAATAAATGAATAATTCATAAATAAATGTCGCAGAAATTCTTTTAAAACACTTTTTTCGTTCTACTTAATAGTACACGTATTGCCATTTACACTATAAAAGCAAACTTTAATTTAAAGATACGAATTCTCGAGATAAGCTAAACTCGAATAACAGAGTGTTTTTGTTGGAAAAATACGATGATCATTGTACTTCCTATACATTATGTCATCTAATCATCTATAGCATGACCTTCGTTCCATTCTATTCCATCAATGTGGCCCTATGTGTCTAACCGCTCGACCTTTGTCTCTGTCCGTATAGTTAGAAGAATGACTTAGCCGAATGTAGCGGTCAATGACGGTCACGGGTCACTTTTGTTACTAGTTCAGTGCAAACTGACCTTAGGTATCTTTATATATTCTCTCATGTATGCTTATTCTTAAGTTGCATTCGCCAGAAAAAGAATTCACCAGTAGAGATGATGAAGCAATCACTGTCAGATAAAAATGTAAACGGTGGAGTTCTGCGAACCCGTTCAACACTACCATGTAATGGAAGATTGTTTACACAGGAACAGATTGACGTTTTAGAACCAGGTATTTTCTTGCTATGTTAAATTAAACACAAGAAAATTCGATATTCTTATATTTAGCTTTCAAAGTTCAACATTATCCAGATATATTGCATCGTGAACAACTGGCATTAGAATTAAATGTGCCTGAAGTGAGACTTCAAGTATGGGTCATAATACTCTTTCGAAAATACTTATTTACTTGTTTAAAGGTATGGTTTCAGGATCGCCGAAAGAAATTTCGTGAAGTCGACAAAATAGTTGTTTCTAATCCTTCCGAGGCGATGAGACCCACCGGCGGATCTCACTGTTTACTGGCGACATCGAATAGCCTTGAAAGGGCTAAACAATATCAACCAAAGTTGCCAACCGCGCCAATTTCTGCAGACAAAATCTCCTCTGCAGAGAGTTTTCTGGTCTTTGCTGTCGCTTTTGTTTTCTTGGCAACGTTTTCCTTCTTGAAGATCTTTTTCTCATAGTTAGAAAAAAATGTCTTTTAAGGCCAAAACTAGATAAAGTGTTCTCTCGATTAACTTTCAAGCGATCACACGAAACTTTTATTCAGAGTTTGTTTGAGATCAACAATGTCGTAGGAAGCAGGACCCGAAGCGAAGCGAGTCGAGGCAATGAAAAATCGCTTCGTTTCGGACTCTGGAGTGAACACTTTCATTTCATTAATTATGGGATGTAGGACGTGATCAGACGCAACTCAAATGAAACAAGTCAAATCTGTAATTAGTTGTGGACGTGAAAATGTAAATTGTCGCAGCAGCACATCATCTCATATGCAATACGATCATATGGAAATAAAATCTACAGAAAAATATTTGATGGATATTTAATGACATTCTTTTTGCATTAACTGCAGAATCAAAGTGGAGGCGTGGACTAGAAAAGGTGTTCCTATACGATTCTTTATAATCTCATTTAAGTATGATTTCTTCGATTTTGTTATTGAAATATTGCATCGTCACTAGATTAACTGATACTCGTCGATGAATTGCCATTTCTGCCAAAACATAGCAAATGAATTCTTCACTCATTTTTCACCGGTAGTTTTACTCTGAGAATATTCAAATGATAGTTGCCAAACAATAGAATCATTTAGATGAAATAATTTATCCATGATCTTCATATATCTTATAATAAGCAAACTCACTTTTGACTTTATCTCAAGAAAGATCATAGATTTGACTTGAGAAATTTCTTTAAACCAATAAGAATCGAAAGTTGGAAAAAAACCAAGTGTTAGTTGCATATCACACCTGTACTGCACACGTAGATAAAGATAATATTTCTATGCGTAAAAGACGCAGAAAAAGTGTGCATATCAACTATGTTTGTAATAAATTGGAATGATTAATCAATTCTTTACTAAAGTAAGAATTCGTTTGCTATTAATCGTAGGGAAAAGAAGGAAATTTTTTTCTTTCCTCAATAAATACATCCCACGTACGTATGATGAACTAACTGGTGTACTAAACATCGCCAAAACGATGTAGGAAAGAAAAAGTAAATATTATGATATCAAATTACCAACTAATAGCTATAGTTTAAAAAGATTGCATTTTCTTCATATTGTTTTGATATAAAAGAGTGCAGTATAGTATTACAATAAGATATTTTATTTGGAGTTAAAGATCGAGTCAATTGTTCAATATATCCCAAAAGATGAAAGTCTTTGTAGAAACTGATGGTATGGGCATTATGTCATCCTAAATAGAGCCTACGGCCATCATTAAAACGCTCAAATTACAAATCGACGAAAAACTAGGCCTTCCTCCTTTTTACCAACGTCTTAGTTTCCTAGGACATGTGTTCAAGGATGGGAAAACATTCGATCGGTACCATTCAACTCTTACGTAAACGTCAATAAAAATAAGCAATCACGAACCAACAACAAGCGAAATAAACTTGTTTTTAAGTCTGTTCTTTATCGATTATTTCACTATACGCATGAAATTAGTCAGAGAAGATTTGATATTATAGTTTTTT